ACACGCGAACAAAAAATATAAAAGGCTCATAATTTTATGATTCAACACGAATTTGACATAACACGACTCGATTGTCACTCCTAATATTAGACAAAAAAATTAAAAAAAATTTAGTCATTTTTATTTTTCATCCATCCAACTAAACACAAAGGAAGAAAAATGTATCATTCTTACTTTTCATCCTTGAAGGATAGAAAGTGTATTCCTCCTACTTTTCATCATTCGTACCGAATGGAGCATTAGAGATTGGAATAAATCTGAATTTGGAAATATTTTCAATAAGAAAAAAAGATTGTTAGCCTGGCCGGGATACAAAAGCTATTTGCGAGAATCCTAACCCCATCTTTTTCACTTGGAAAAAACCTTGAGAGTTGAGTACTATAATACAAATCACTAGGAGGAATTTTGGGATTTGAAATCTCGGGCAGACTGGCTAATTATTGGGGATGGAAACACCAAATGTTTTCATACTTCACCTTTGACTATGTGAAGGAGAAACAAAATCGTAGAATTCTAAAAAGCAAGTGGGGAATGGTAACACAATGCAGACAAAATCAAAGAATCAGTGGTCACACACTTCAAAAATATTTTTGCACCTTCACAAGAGGAGGACAATCCGGTGAAGTTTCCCAACTGATCTAACTCCCCAAGGATAAGGGAGGTTGACACAACCACCTTAGAGCGAACCCCAAATCCAAGAGAGATTAGGGAATCAACGTGACAACTCAAATCAAGGAAAGCTCCTGGACCCAATGGTTTTCATGCTATATTTTATCAGTTCTAATGGGAAACTGTTGGACCAATCATCCAAAAGTTCATCCNTTTATTTATATTTTTAAAAAATAAAAAATTTAAATAAATTAAAATTTAAAAATTTAAATTAAATTTTTTTTTTTCATGTTAACTAAGGGTGAAAATTTTCGACTCAACACGATGACACGACTCGAACTCGATATGAATTTTATGACACGAACTTGAAAATGATTTGACACGCGAACAAAAAATATAAAAGGCTCATAATTTTATGATTCAACACGAATTTGACATAACACGACTCGATTGTCACTCCTAATATTAGACAAAAAAATTAAAAAAAATTTAGTCATTTTTATTTTTCATCCATCCAACTAAACACAAAGGAAGAAAAATGTATCATTCTTACTTTTCATCCTTGAAGGATAGAAAGTGTATTCCTCCTACTTTTCATCATTCGTACCGAATGGAGCATTAGAGATTGGAATAAATCTGAATTTGGAAATATTTTCAATAAGAAAAAAAGATTGTTAGCCTGGCCGGGATACAAAAGCTATTTGCGAGAATCCTAACCCCATCTTTTTCACTTGGAAAAAACCTTGAGAGTTGAGTACTATAATACAAATCACTAGGAGGAATTTTGGGATTTGAAATCTCGGGCAGACTGGCTAATTATTGGGGATGGAAACACCAAATGTTTTCATACTTCACCTTTGACTATGTGAAGGAGAAACAAAATCGTAGAATTCTAAAAAGCAAGTGGGGAATGGTAACACAATGCAGACAAAATCAAAGAATCAGTGGTCACACACTTCAAAAATATTTTTGCACCTTCACAAGAGGAGGACAATCCGGTGAAGTTTCCCAACTGATCTAACTCCCCAAGGATAAGGGAGGTTGACACAACCACCTTAGAGCGAACCCCAAATCCAAGAGAGATTAGGGAATCAACGTGACAACTCAAATCAAGGAAAGCTCCTGGACCCAATGGTTTTCATGCTATATTTTATCAGTTCTAATGGGAAACTGTTGGACCAATCATCCAAAAGTTCATCCACCAAGTCTTTGAAATAGAAATAATCAATCTTGAAATCACAAAGACAATTGAGTACCTCATCCCAAAAACCCTGAGTCCACAATCCCTCACTAACTACTGACCAATTAGTGTGTGTAACACTATTTACAGTGTTTTATCAAAAATTCTAGTGAACAGAATTAGAACACTTTTGGACGACCAGATTCATCCTTTGGAAGCCAGCTTCATCCCCGGGAGGCAGAGGATTCATAATGTGATCATTGCATAAGAACTCATCCACACATTGGGGAATAAGAAAAGAGGAAAAAAAGAAATGATCATTAAAATTGACATGAAAAAAGCCTATGATAGACTTCGGAATTCCTAAAACAAAACCTTGAATGAATTACTTGCCCCAGGAAACTAATAAATATCATTATGGCTTGTGTTGACTAATTTCGTGAAGTCTTTGTGTAAATCTCAACCTAAGTCCATTGTTATATTGCTTCAAAGATCAAGTTCCAAAAACTTTAAAGAAGAAAGGAATTCAAACTTCAAAACCGTATCAAGAACTCCTCCATTGAAATTCTCTCTTAGACAACTTATGTTTGGAAATTATGGATACTCCAGTGTGAATAATTTTAAAATAATGTCCAACCTTTTCATTAAACAAAAATAGAGTTTCTCAACTTTCATATTAAAATTTTTTTTTCGATAAGTAACTTCATACATCATTTGCATATACCTTTTTCTATGCACCCAACTGTCAAAAAATTTAGCAAAAAAAAAATGCCAAAAACATTCGTGGTGTAGAAATAGCTGCAACCATCAACAAGAGTAGTGAATTATATACAATGACGCATGGTGATGGTCCTAAAGAAAGATTCTCATCATGGCGCTGGGGTGGGCTAGTCAATGAGTCAAATTTAGACCGGATCTTGATTCCTTTGAATCTGATTAAAAAATTTTATTTTCAAATTCGATTCGTTTATCATTTGGATTTGAAATTCCTGGTTCATATTTGAATTTGTTAACAATCGAGCGTCCAATCCAATAATCCAATCCGATCTGATAATTTGAATTCCACCAAAATTTCATTATAATCAAGAATTTCACCAATTAAAGGCTAAATCTTAACATAATGTCATAAATTATTCCATCAATTCCAATAATTTTGATTCAATTTCATCATCATTTTATCAACAACACCACCAAATCAACAACAAAAAATGAAACAAAATACAAATCCAATTTTACCTAAGCCTTGGTTTATTTTCGGAAACAAAAAAAGAGGAAGAGGATAGTAGAAGTGGGAGAGAAGGACAAGAGCAAAAGAGAGAGAGAGGAAAACTGAGAGAATAGAGGCAAGAGGGAAATATGGGTAGAGCAGAAAGAGAGGAGAGCAATAGAAAAATAGAAGAAGGGAGAAGAAGTAGGTGGATGGTGAAAGGTAATTTGAAATAGGAGAGGGGCTCCACATTGTAAAAGCTGATAGTACGGGGGCGAGAGTGAGGAGGGTTGCATTCTTAACTTGCGGTAGGTGAGGGCTGGGTTAAATATTTGGGTAGGGTTATATCTAAATCACATGCGCAAATTGAATCCTTATTGGATCATATTAGTATATTTTCAAGTCCAAATCCGATTTAATTGGTCTAATCAGATTCATATTCAAATTTTAATTCATGGATTAAAATCCCAATCCATATCCAAATATATGAATTCAAAGCGGTGTCAGGAATGCCACGGAGGGGTGGATGGGGAGGAGGGGTTGGGCTCATTTCATTCGCAAATGACAACAAAGTTTGCTATTTAGTCCAAAACATCATCATCTTAATAACTTTTGTGGCGTTAAAACTTTTCCACCCAAACAACTTGGAAAATTTTCGAGCAAATATTTAGTGTAACGGTGACACCATATTACAATTGTCACGTGATGTTACCATTCAATAATAAGTATAGAAATGTGCAAAGTGAACTCCACTTATCTACATAAAATAGTCATTCTCTTGCATGGATAAGATTGTTAGTTGATGATGCACAAATTGAGTTTGTACACCACCTGTCAGATGAGCGGTAATAAATGTAGTAGTAAAATAGAAAGAGATTATAACAGAAGCAAGACAAGAATTTATAGTGATTCAGTTAACGTGACCTACGTCCACTTTAAATGGTTAGAGTTGTCGGGGTATTTTATTACTTCAAGTGTTAGAGAGAGTAGCGAGGTACAAGTTGAGAGAGATGAGAGAATTGTACTCGACTGAATGTAATGCCCCCAAAGTGTTGGCAGGGCTTACCATTTATAGTCACCTCCTAAAAGATTGTGGTGACTTAATAGTAACTAAATGATTAATTTGGTAGAGATGGCGACCTCCTCTCAACAGATGAGTTAGTTACGATGCTTTTCATAAGATTTGATCAAACGATGAGGTGGGGGTTGACCCTTTCCAAGGAGGCGAGAATGAGGCTCTTGGATGACCCTGCATGCTCCCTTGCTGTTGTAGCTTCTCGCAAACTGATGACCTTGACTGGGTGTGAACTACTTTAGGTTGGACTCACTGGATCTTTCTTAAGTCGGTCTCTTAATTTAAACTGGACTTATAACATGAGTTAGGCCCTCGGGCTTGGCCTATCATTTGTCCCCCCTAATGTCTTGTGTCCAATGGAACTTGGAGAGGAGGACATTTAGTTAAGTTTGAATTTCTATTGAATGCACAACTGGAAAAATTTTGAGAGGCCAAAACAGATGTTTCTAAACCTTTTTTGAGCTTTTAACAGTGTCTATCACAACCAAAGGCAGTGAATCTTGTAGGGCTCACCAAGTGCTTCGATTTGATATATTATAAGCCCCATTTGGAGTAACAGAGCAAAAGTTACGGTCAAAATATTGATCAACCCTTCTTGAACTTGGATTTCTTGGAGACTCCCTTTGATTGGCAAATCCCTTCCCTCTTGTGAACTTCTTTTTCTTGTGGGACACCATTAGCTATATAAACTCCTTCTTTTACTTCCCCTTTTGGATTCTTGAAGAGCCCTAGGTTATAAATTGGGCCTTTTTCCTTTTTCCTTTCCTTAATAGGATTTTAAAAAACCCTAGGCTATAAATAGAAAACTCCTTCTTCATTCCACACATTCCATATAATTTTGAGAAAGGAAAGTAGAACTCTTCTTGAAATCTTTCAAGAACACATAGGTGAGACTTTTGAGTTTGAGCATTTCGATTAATGTCGACTAGAGAGGAGTTTGTGAATCTTGGTGAAGAGCTCGGAGAAATTAGTGTTGTTCTCGGAGAGGAAAGGGAGGTGCTGGACGTCAGAGTGGAGGTGGAGATGGAGACCCCGTTGGGTGCTGCTATTGTTCACGCGCCGCTGGGGTTGTCTCATGCAGTTGTTTGCGCGCTGCTGGGTGCGAGGGAGGTGGATCTAGGTGAGCAGGAGGTAGCGTTCGGGTGAGCAGGCATCGAGAGGGGTCTAGGCAATCATGTGACATCAGCTGGGCGTATCGAGGAGGGTTTGGGCGAGGCTGTCTTGGTGACAGAAGCTAATGGGCGCGCCGAGGGAGGTTTGGGCCAGGCTGTCTTGGCGACAGGAGCTGATGGACGTGCTGAAGGGGGTCTGGATGAGGCGTCCTCGTAGGTGGGTGAGCCTCCCTTGGTGCTGGGCCCACAGTCAGTTTGGGCGAGCTCCCCTTGGCGTAAGGCGAGGCACCCTTGCAACTGGGCGGGCCTCCCTTGTTGCTTGGCCCCTTGGGGTGAGTATGCTATATGCTATGGTTGGAGCACACCGAGGCCAGTTGGGCAAGGACCAGTGAGCGCTAAGGTGGTCTCATCAGTCAATGGTCGTGGTCAAGCCAATGCGCAGTCGATACCGAGCGAGTCAGGCTTGGCGACAGAGGCTGGGTACGGAGCTAGCGAGCCTAGTTCTAGAGTCAGGAGGGAGAGAATGCTGGGCACTTTTGGTGGTGATGACCTGGCTCCTTCAAGTGGAATTTCTCAAAGTTAGATTTCTCAAGTCCTCCTTAGTAGTGGCTCGAGTAATACTTCACACCCTCGCAATAAAAAGCACCGAGGAAAAGTGGCTCTTGATGACGATGGATCCAAAGTAAGTACCATTTCTAGTACTCTCAATACGAACTCTGATATTTTGCGGATAGTCTCTGCATACCACATTCCTCCAACAGTGCTGTGCTGTCAAGCTGAGATGGGTGAGCATGCTTGTGATGACTCCTCTAGTGACGTTGCCATCTATGAGGAGATGCTTGAGGCTAGGCTTAGGTTCCCAATGCCTTATTCTATTTGTCGTATTCTGCTTTACTTTTCAATGTCACCAGGGGCGGTTGGCGCCCAATGGTTGGAGAGTTTTGCTATGTTTTCTAGTATTGTGGAGGAAAGTGCATCATGAGGATGCCTCTCTCGGCGAGTTTCGTGCAGCTTACACTTTGAGTGAGACTCCTGCTCATAATCGAAGCTGGTACTATTTTACTACGAGAGGAGGTAAGTTGATTACCAGATTGTGCTCCAACTGTCATACCTGAAAATCTTGCTTTATGTTCGTTGACGGGGAGTGGGCTTCAGAGGCTGATAGGGCTTTGATACCAACAGGATGGGGATACTCCTAAGAAACTTGGTATGCCCTACACTTACTCTCTCTCCTTTGCTTTTTTTTTTTAACGGTGGAGATAGAGCTGGTGGAACCTCTCCGAGATTTGGAGGTTCCTCTTTGAAGAGAAAGGGTATGTTGATTCTTTTGTACTTTCCTACTTTACTTGGTTTCTTTTCTAGATAACACTTTATCTCCTTTGCAGTGGATAGAACGGTGGTTGGGTCTCGTTACTCTTGTAGGAGCACTCCTCCTCCTAAGGTGGCAAGGATGAGCTATGCTTTGGCGAGCTCCTCTCAAGTGACCCCTCTAGTGGTGCCTCCTCGGTCAGCGACTCCATCAGATGTGACTGCTACTTCGGAGATTCCCCTATCGAATACTCCTTCTGCCCCCCATCCGTAAACTCTTCCTGTGGGAACTTCTATAGGGGCACCTACCTAGATTGGCTCCATGTTGGGTAACGTGCGAGTCATCAGGCATCAACTTGAGAGATTTGTATTTTTGCCCGATGTTAATGACATTAGTGCTCTAGGCACTTAGGGAATTATCAACACCTTTTTGGAAGGCCTAGCTCAAGTAAGGGTCTGTTGTCTCATTTTCTTCAGTCCCTCCTTATGCGTTTGACGCTCCTTTTCCTTTTGTCTTTTTCAAGTTTCAACTGCATCTGTATGCTTGTTTTCAAGGGCCCATTATTACAGCCAGCTGAAGTATAGTCATGAAACTGTACAAAAGGAGTTTCTCATTGCTTTGGGGAGGATTAATGAGCTTGAGGATGCTGATAGGACTTCCTAGGCTGAGCTTGTGGTGACCCATGAGAGGGTCACGCTCAGAGAGGCTACTTGCATGAGGGCTGAAGTGGAACTTTCGATGACCCACAAAAAGGCGACTAAGCTTGAGACTAAGCTTTTGGTGACTTATGAGAGGGACTCGCTCAGAGAGGCTACTTGCTTGCAAGTGGAGACAAAGGTGAAGGCAGCTTACGAGAGAGCTTCTCGGGCTGAGGCGGATCTGTTATTCGCTCATGAAAGGTCTATCAAGGCTGAGAGTGATTTGGAGACTAGCCTTGCAGATGCCTTTATTGATGGTTATGAGGAGCTTTAGAGAAATATTTATGTTACTTTCCTTGATATTGACCTTTCAGGCTTCGTGCCATATGAGGCGCCTAATGATAGTGATGGAGGCTCTGATGATGCTGAGGGTGATGAGGTGGAGGAGGATAAGGAAGATGACCATGAGAGAAGTTAGTGTGCTGGGGACTTTTGATTTTTTTTAGAAAGACAGTTTATAGCCTTACTTTTGTAAAAGTGGTTTTTTGCCACTGTTTTTCTTTTTGAAATAGAATGCAAATAACTTTAGAAACCAACTTGGAAAATTTTATTCATTCACTGCTTATGTCAAAGGAATAATGGGTAATAACCCCAAAAAAGATACAAAAAATAAAATCAAGTTCCCCAACTATTTCTACTTTGCTAAGATGTCATTGGTAGTACCTCTTTGGGTGTTCAGTGTTCCACAGATGGGGTAAGAACTTGCGCTCGAAATTCTGGATCTTGTAGGTGCCTAGCCTCACCATTTCTGTTATGAGTTAAGGTTATTCCCAGTTTGGTCCCAGCTTCCCTTTCTGTGAATCGTTTGTGGCGAGAATCACTTTCTTGAAGACCAAGTCTCCTGGTTGGAAGGATCAAGACTTCATCCTAGAGTTATAGTATTTTGCCATGCGGTGCTTGTAGTCCGCGTTGCGGACCACGACCATCTCCCTTGTCTCCTCTTCTAAGTTGAGCTTGATGTGGAGTTCTTCCTCATTGGTGATGGGGTTGTAGTGTTGGACTCTTTGAGAATGTACCTCGATCTCCACAGGGATGACTGCCTCAGTTCCGAAGGGGAGGGAGAAGGGGGTTTCTCCAATTTAGGTTCTTGGCGTCGGTCGGTACGCCCATAATACGCCTGGGAGTTCGTCAAACCAAACACCCTCCGCTCTTTTAAGCTTTGTCTTTAGGTCATGTAAAACTGTTCTGATCATGACTTCTGCCTGTTCGTTTGCTTGCAGGTGCGCTGGGCTGGAATGATGCTACTTTATCTGGAGGTCGGAGCAAAAAAGAGTTCAAGAGCTTGTTTTCGAATTGCTTGGCATTGTCACTGACAATGGCGTGGGGTATCCCGAAGCGCCAGACCAAGTGTTTCCAGATAAAGTTTTTAACCTTCATGTCTGTTATTTTTTCCAAGGGCTTGACATTTGCCCACTTAGTAAAGTAGTCGACGGCTACCACTACAAACTTGCACTGTCCTCTACTTAGAGGTAGGGGGCCTAGGATGCCGATGCCCCATTTGGAAAGGGGTCACAGACTCATGATGATTGTTAGCTCCTTTGGCAGCTATCTGGGCACAGTGGCAAAACGTTGACACTTGTCACACTTCTTGGCAAATTCCTAGGCGTCCCTCACCATGCTAGAGGCGTCCCTCACCATGCTAGGCTAGAAGTAGCCCTGTCTGAGTGTCTTGTGGGTGAGGGAGTGTCCTCCAGAGTGATTCCCACAAACCCTTTTATGGATCTCCTATAGGGCATAGTTAGCTTCTTTGGGTGAAAGGCATTGCTGTAATGACAAGGAGTAGCCTTTCTTGTACAAGGTATCTTGTAAGATGGTAAAATTGGAGGCTCTCATCCTGAGTTTTCTAACTCCTAGGGCGTCATTTGACAATACACCCTCTTGGAGGTATGCCCTTATCAGGGTCATCCAGTTTGATTCGACAGACGCACAGTTGACATTTGTGGCTTTCACGTCTAGCCTGCTTGGTTCGAACTGGTGACTGATGAATGCTGGTCTTGGTGGGGCTTCCAAGGATGAGGCTAGCCTGGTGAGTACATCTGTGGCCATGTTGTCCTCCCTCAGGATGTCATATATTTGGAAATGGTGAAACTTAGTAAGCAAGGTTTGCACCATAGCAAGGTACTCTTGCATTCTGGCTCCTTTCACCTTAAACTTACCCTTCACTTGGTTAACTATTAGTTGGAAATCTCTATAAATGATGAGGTGTTGGGCTTCCATTTTGATTGCCAACCTTAGGCCAGAGAGGCGAGCTTTATATTTTGCCTCATTGTTAGAGGCGATGAAGTGGAGCTTCACAACATACTTGATGGGAGTGCCATTGGGGCTGATCAGGATTAGGCTTACTCTACCTCCTTCATTGGTCGAGGAGCCATCCACATAGAGTTTCTAGAGGGGCAGAGAGGAGTGCTTAGAGGTCATTATAGGAGCCTAGGTGCCAGGCTAGGGTGTTTGGACACCTGGCCTAGGTGCCTAGGTGTCTTGTCTGGGCGCCTAGGTGTCCTATATTGGCCCTTGGATGTCCTCACCAGGCATCAAATTGTTTTATGTGCCTAGGCTCTACATTTGAGTGTTTGGATATGTTGAAGCTTGCTAGAGTGTCGAAGGCTCGTTGTTCTCTTCATTTGCTGGTGTGAGTTCTGCAATAGAATCTATCAAGGCTTGTGCTTTGATGGCCATCCTTGGTTGGTACTGGACATCGAACTTGTCCAGCTCCACTGCCCACTTAAGGAGTCTCCCAGACACGTTCAACTTTCCTAGAACTCTATTTAGAGGCTGGTTCGTAACAACAACAATGGTGTGACTCTGGAAATAATGTCGTAGACACCTTGCTGTTGAGATCAGGGGAAGCGCCAACTTTTCTAGCCTAGAATATCTGATTTCTGCTCCTCGGTATGCTTTACTCACATAATAGATGGGCTTTTGCACTTCATCATTGTCTCTGACGACGATGGAGCTTACTGTCGATGAGGACGCAGAAAGGTACAGATATAAGGTTTCACCTGGTGTAGCATGTGAGAGGAGGGGAGTTGTAGCCAAGTAGGCTTTGAGCTTTTGAAAGGCTTCCTCTGCTTCAGGTCCCCATTCAAAGGCTTTTCGGAGAATCTTGAAGAAAGGCAAACATTATCTGCAGACTTGGAAACAAATCTGTTAAGTGCTTCAATTCTCCCGTTGAGGCATTGGAACTCGTTGGTCGAGGAGAATGTTTTTCATGTCGAGGATGGCCTTTATCTTGTCGAAGTTAGTCTCAATTCCCCTCTGGTTGACTATGAAACCTAAGAACTTTCTTGACCCTATGCCAAAGGCGTACTTCTCAGGATTCAGCTTCATGCGGTATGACCTGAGAACGTTGAAAGTTTCTTGAAGGTGGTCAATGTGGTCTGCTGCTGTGAGGCTTTTCACCAGCATGTCGTCTACGTAGACCTCCATTGTTTTTCTGATTTGAGACCGGAACATCTTGTTCGCCAACTGTTGATAGGTTATTCTTGTGTTTTTTAGGCTAAAGGGCATAACCTTATAATAGTAGGTACCTTTGGGAGTGATAAATGATGTCTTCTCTTGGTCTAGAGGGTGCATTCT